AGGTAATTATTTCCATTTTCTGGGTGGAAAATTATCCTCGAGTTGTTTGTGGATTAAGAAGAAAAACATTTATACAGTGCTTAATATAATAAAATTATACTTAGAACGTATTAGTGCCTAATATAATAAAAGCTCAGGAGTCAATAGCTGACATTATTGTAATGAGTTACTGGCAAGACAAGGACTAGAACTTGAGCTTTGTGTGGCTATAGAAGTAAGAGATCTAAAGTACAGGTGCTTTTAAACAGGGAAGAGAGTTTCAGGAAGAGCTTAGTAAAGACTTACCGGCTTTATCAGGCACTGCTATTAGAAGTCTATTAGTAGCCTTTTCTTTTCTTTATTTTTAAAAAATTATTTGGGACTAGCAGTTGGTGTAACGGCTATGTCACTAGACTCCCATGTATGTCACTAGACTCGACCGTGGTTTGAGTCCTGGACCTGGTGGCTTAAACTCACGCTAGGCGCGTGTGCGTGCGTGCCCAAGATCCTGAGAGAAGAATGAAGGAGAAGAGGGCAGAGTGGCCATCCCCCTGGGGGGTGATTTCTTGCTTTCTGTCTCTCTGTCTCTGTCTTTCTGGCAAGCGCACATGCCCTATAGCAAAAACCTCTCCAAAAACATATTTTATTTATCATTCTTCTTACTATTATTTTAAATTTTTGACCAGAGAGTGAAAGACAAAGAGGGAAAATGAGAAAGCAAATTACCAGGTCTGGGATTCAAACCATGGTTGGCCATGTTGGAGTCCAGTGCCTTAACCTCCATGCCACCAGCTCGTCCCAGTAGCACGTATTTTTTTTTTTTGAAAGAATTATTTTATTTAAGTTTATTTATTTATTTTTAATTTGACCAGAGAGGGACAGAATGTGAGAGAGAGAGCGCGCATGCACTTGACCTGGCATAGTTTTCCATGCTGCTGGGGCTGGCACTTGAACAGCTGTGTGGTATCCAGCTCCCTAACCTCAGGCTGTGAGGCTGGGCTTCCGTAAACTGATGTTTAATTTCATTGCAAAATGGTTAGAGTAGTTATATTATTTCAGCCCCCTTATATTTATTGGGGCTAGCAGGTGGCATAGTGGTTAAGGCGCTGGACTCCCACATAGCCGAGCCAGGCACGTGTGGGTATGTGCCCACAATCCTGAGAGGAGACCGGAGGAGAAGGGATTGAGGCACAGCCATCCTCCTCAGGTGGCGGGGGTGATTTCTGTTTCTCTCTGTCTTTCCAGTGAGCACATGAGCCCAATAGCAAAAGTTTACTACCCCCCCGAACAATTTCTTGAGATTTGCTTTGTCTAATATGTGACGTGTCCTGTCGAATGTTTCCGTGACGTGAGAGAATGCCCGTCTTCCTGGTGTCGCGTGGCGTGTTCAGTCTAGGCGGTACATGTCTTCCTAGTCCCCTCCTCCTCTTGTGTCATGGGGCGTGTGTGCTCACCAGTTGGCACCCTAGTTGGTGGCAGGGTGGTCTGGTAGACACTTGGGCCTGTCCAACACGCTGTGCACTGGCGCTTCATGCTGGCCTTGCTCAACACGCTGTGCACTGGTGCTTCATGCTGGCCTGTCCAACACGCTGTGCACTGGCGCTTCATGCTGGCCCTGTCCAACACACTGTGCACTGGTGCTTCATGCTGGCCCTGTCCAACACACTGTGCACTGGTGCTTCATGCTGGCCCTGTCCAACACACTGTGCACTGGCGCTTCATGCTGGCCTGTCCAACACACTGTGCACTGGTGCTTCATGCTGGCCCTGTCCAACACACTGTGCACTGGCGCTTCATGCTGGCCTTGTTCCAACACGCTGTGCACTGGCGCTTCATGCTGGCCCTTTTCAACACGCTGTGCACTGGTGCTTCATGCTGGCCTTGTTCCAACACGCTGTGCACTGGTGCTTCATGCTGGCCTTGTCCAGCATGCTGTGCACTGGCGCTTCATGCTGGCCTTGTCTAGCACGCTGTGCACTGGTGCTTCATGCTGGCCTTGTCCAACACGCTGTGCACTGGTGCTTCATGCTGGACTTCTTCCAACACGCTGTGCACTGGTGCTTCATGCTGGCCTGTCCAACACGCTGTGCAGTGGTGCTTCATGCTGGCCTTGTCACGTGAGAGCGTTCTCTCAGCCGAGACTGTGGTGAGTGCATTGTGCAGCTTTTCAAATGGGAAGCAAAAAGGGTTACAGAGAGAAAACAGAGTCATAATGTTTTACATTTACCTATGCAGTTACTTTTACCGGTGCTGTTTATTGTCTAATGTCCTTTCATTTCACCAGAAAAACTCCTGGGATTTCGTGCAGGGCCCCCGTAGGGCTAACTAGGAGTCTCTGGGACTTCTCGAACTACCCTATGTTGCTGGAGGGGAGTTATGCTGGATTTAAAATTTGGCAATAGTTTTTCCTTGGAACGCTTTAATGTGTGATCCCCTGCCGTGGTTGCTAATGAAGGATCCCCGCTGCTCTCCTACTGGGATCCTTTGGTGATGCATCTCTGTTCATCCTTCTAAAATGCTCTTTTCATCTTTGTCCCTCAGTACAGGTTTGGCTGGGTGTGGATCTCTTTGAGATAATCCTATTCTAAGTTCCTTGAGTTTCTCGGATGTATAGGTTTATGTTTTCTGTCAAATTTGGATAGTTTTTGGCAATTTTTTTAAAAAAAACTTCCCATTTCTTTCCTTATTAGACCTTCATTATGCAAATATTGCTCTTTTTAATGATGTTCCACCGATTTTGAGACGCTATCCATTTTTGTTTTTTCATGTGTTTGAGAAAGTGAGAGACAGAGAGAGAAGACGTCTCCGAAGGAGTCGCTGTCCCTTTTCCTCCATCTTTCCATCCTGCCAAGCTCGTGTGCGTATATACACACATCGAGCGTGGTTTTCAAGCCTCAGTGCTGGAATTCAGAACCACTGCACCTGGGGCCTGCCCTGCATGTTTTTTTTCAAGTGTGGTTATTAGAATGTCTCATCGTTTAGCTTAGATTGGACACTTCTAAGAGGTTTTTGTCTTACAGCGTGCACATTTTGCTCAAGAGAGAATGAGACAGAAACAGTGAGAGGGAAAGTGAGAAATCACCCCTGGGGGGATGGCGACACCACAATCCCTTCTCCTCCATTCTCCTCCCAAGATCTTGGGTCTACATGCACATGCACCTGCCGTGAGTTTCAAGCCACCTGGTCTGGGACTTGAACCAAGGTCGGTCATGTAGGGATCACATAACACAAGGTGGGGAGAGGAGACTCTGCCCCAACAGTCCCTGGTCCTGCCACAGTCCCTTTCCTCCAATTCTCCATCCTGAGAGGATCCTGAGTACGTGCATATGCAGGATGTGTTTCGAGCCCTTGGGGCCAGTTCTTGAACCCTGGCAGGCCGTGTGGGAGCCTCCTATCCCTGACTCTCGCACCGTGGAAGCCAGCCCATGTCTGTTGATTTCGAAGGTTACTGCTGAGTTGGTGTGATGAGCAGGGGTTGGGGTAGGGCAGCATAAAATGTACAGAGCTGCTTTTCTCGAGTGAACACTCAAGCTTTGGTTGCTTTCTAGAATTTTGGGAAGGTTCATGCTGATAGATTTTTCAGCTTTCTCGTTGGATTTATGGAGGAGAGAATGTCACTGCCTTCATCCCTTTTTGTATTTCACATCCAAAGTATCCTGCTCTGTAGGAGTGCTTAAGTATTGAGCTTATCTAAACATTTGTATTGGAAAAGTGAAGAAATAGCAGGTAAATTTACTAACTAATGTTTGCTTTTTAAAATAATATCCATGAATCGTGCTCATTATAAAGCTATACTTTGGTCTCTGACAGGAACTACCATGTATTCTACTACCTCCTGGCAGGAGCAAGCGAAGAAGAGAGGTTAGCCTTCCACCTTAAGCAGCCAGAGGAGTATCATTACCTCAATCAGGTGAGAGTTCAGGAGAGTATTTTGAAAGGTAGGGCATGATTCAATTTTAGCTGTTGAGAGAACTTTTTATTCCTAGTACTTTCTTTTCCAGACTGATAATGGATATTAATGAGTTTGTTTTCATACATGTAGTCTAAAACTTTATATGCTATGGTTCTCAGATTTAAAAATGATTACTTTCAAGTGTTAAAAGGTTAATTGTATATGTGCTTTTGTATGTGTGTGAGAGACATTTTTTTAAAGAGAGATATTTTGCTGTAGGGCACGTGTGCTTGCCAAAGAGACAGAGAGAGACAGAAGGTGAGAAATCACCGCCTTGGGGAAGGGGATGGCCACACCACAGTTCCTTCTCCTTCATTCTCCTCTTGGGATTTTGGGCACGCACACACCTGGCATTGAGTTTTAAGCCACTGGGTTTGGGACTTGGACCATGGTCAGCTACATGGTAGTCCAGCGACATAACCATTACGCCATCTGCTGGTCCTCTGTGAGACTCCTAAGAAAGTAACAGTAAGCTGTTTATGGGTACTTCTATTTGAGAAAATGGCTTACTTTTTCCAGTGTGATTTACCTTTTGCAGACCCCAGGATGTTAAATGTTACTAATGACCGGTGCTTGTCCTGTGCAGAGGATTACTTGAAACCTTATTTGCATGTTTTCAAGTCTAATACACTTACCTCTTTGCATGATATTATACTGACTTAAAGTATGGCTATTTTTATAACATAATGAATAGTCCTCTTAAACATTTATGAAGTGCGAATTTATCAAAGGCAAACGGCTTAGGGAATTCAGATCTCTCCTTAAAATTCACCCTTAACCCCTTAACCTTCCATGATAAGGAGTTAATTCTCACTGCTGTTTACTACATTTGTCTCTTTATTTTCTTTTTCAGTTTTTGCTATAGGGCATGTGTGCTCGCCTGATAAAGACAGAGAGAGAAAAAGTGAGAAATCACCCCCCAGGCCGTTGACCATAATGCATTCCCTTCTCCTTCATTCTCCTCTTAGGATTTTGGGCGTGAATGCACACATGCCCGGAATATTTTTCAAGCTGATAGGCCCTGGACCTTTTTTTTTTTTTTTTGAGAGGTTTTTGCTATAGGGCGCGTGCGCTCGCCAGACAGACAGAGAGAGAGACAGAGAGACAGAAAGCAGGAAATCACCCCCCAGGGGGGATGGCCACGCCGCAATCCCTTCTCCTCCATTCTCCTCTCGGGATCTTGGGCACGCACGCACACGCGCCCGGCGTGAGTTTAAGCCACCGGGTCCGGGACTCGAACCGCGGTCGACTACGTGGGAGTCCAGCGACATAGCCATTACGCTAACTGCTGGTCCCTGATAGGCCCTGGATTTGAATCACATAGTTAACCAAGTTGGATTCAGGCACCTTAACTTTCATGCCATTTTCTGGCTCTGGTTTCTCTAATTTTCTTATTCTTCACATTAAGAAAAAAAAAATTAAAGCCAATGGTAATTGAATAAGAGCAGATAGTTTAAATAATAGATCGTCTCTGTATGCTTTCAATTGTTTGAGGCAACATTTAAATTCCACAGGAAAGAGATCCTTCATGGCAATTAAAAAAATTGCTATGAAGATTTTGTAAGCACATTGACACTTTGATGATGGCTCAGAGACCATAGTCTGTATTTAAGGTTAAGAAAGTGATGAGGTTATTAAAAATTATTTTCTGATAAGTTAGTGGACATTTTTATAAATAGCATTATTATTATTATTTTTAGAGGTTTTTACCTTGGGGCACGTGAGCTCACCAGAGACAGATAGGCAGACAGTGAGAGGAAAAAGTGAGAAATCACCACCCCCCCAAGATGGATGGCCATCCCGCAACCCCTTCTCTTCCATTTTCCTCCTGAGATCTTGGGCATGCACAGACACACATGGCGTGACTTTCAAACCACCAGGTCCAGGATTTGAACCACAGTCGGCCTTGTGGGAGTCCAGTGATATAACTGCCACACCATCTGCTGTATTTCCTTTTTAACAAAGGAGCAATTGCTTGTACCCGAGCTGATAGTTGTTAGCTTTCGAGTGAGCTGTGCTGTCCTTCAGGATTGTTCTGTAGTTGGCTGTAACGTATCCTAGTCATGTCAGCATGCACAGGGTGTGGGACTCAGCAGTTACTACAAATGAGTGGATGTGAGCGGCATGTGTCGGGTGGGCAGCGTAGCACGTGACGGCCCCGTCTAAATGGCGATCGCGTGTGTCGTTCATGCTGCTGCACCCCCGGATGGCAGAGTGCTGCTGCACGCTGTCCCGGAGAGAACTGCGGTAACCTTACTTCTTCCTAACTCATCTCTCACTTTCAGATAACAAAGAAACCCCTCAGACAGAGCTGGGATGATTATTGCTATGACTCTGAGCCGGTCAGTACCAGTGCCTGAATGTCCTGTGTTTCTGTGAGGGGACGTTGGCGTTTCTCATTTCCATCCATCTCACAACTGAGAATGCAAGTCAGCTGAACACAAAGGGCCCTAGGAAAGAAGATGAATCCATGTTTAATTTCTTTGCATGACTAATTTGTGTGTCTATGGTTTGCTGATTAAAAGTCAGTCCGTTTACTCAGATTTTTTCTTATTGCTGATAGTCAACCACATTTAATATCTCTATTTCCTTAAATAAATAATCTCATTTTCATTATTTTTAATTTGGTATAGGACACATGCGTGCACATGAGAGAGAGAGAAAGCGAGCTGCCAGGTCTAGGACTCGAACCACAGTCAGCCATGGAGGAGTCAAGCACCTTAACCAGCACTCCACCTGCTGACCCTAATATGTTTTGACAAAAATAAAATGATTACTTTTTTGATCTTTCAGCATTGATGTGGTGAACCACATGAACTACATGAACTAGTTTCTTTTTGTTTTGTTTTGTTTTTTAGATTTTTGCTAGAGAGAGGGAAAGTGAGACGGCACCCCCCAGAGGGAATGACCACACTGCAGTCCCTTCTCTATCCTTCTCCTGGAATTTTTGGGCATGCACATACATTCCCAGCATAATTTTCAGGCCACCAGGTCTAGGATTCTAACCGTCACTGGCCATGTGAGAGTCCAGCACCTTAATCACTACATCACCTGCTGGTCCCATATATGAACTAATTTTTTCTTTGAGTTTGTTTTTTTCGTTAATTTCTCCTTTTTTGGAGAGATTTTTTGTTACAGGGTATGTGTGGCTCAACAGAGAGACAGAGACAGAGAGACAGAAAGTGAGAAATCACCCCCCATGGGGGGATGACCACACTGTAGTCCCTTCTTCTCCATTCTCTTGGGATCTTGGGCATGCATGCAAATGCATCTGGCGTAAGTTTAAGCTGCTGGGTCTGGGACTCGAACCGCAGTCAACTATGTGGGGTTCTAGCAGCATAACTGCTATCCCATCTGCTGGTCCCTGTTGTTTTCATTAGTTTTTCTATTCACATATTATAAGTAATAATTATTTATTTAAAAGAATTACATTTCTTCTGTTTTATGTGTCAACAGTCTTTTTTAATTTTAATTTTTAATTTGCTATAGTGCATGTGCACTTGCCAAAAAGAGACAGAGAAGGAGAGAGAAAGAAAGAAAATGAGAAAGCAGTCCCTTGGGGGATGGCCATACCACAGTCTCTCCTTCATTCTTATTTTGGATTTTGGTCACATGCAAGTGCCCACCATTTTTAAGCCACTGGGTCTAGGACTGAAACTGTTTGGTCTGCTCTGTGGGATCCTGCTGCTTCATCGGTGTCACCATCAGCTGGCCCAAAAATCTTTTCACAGAAAGAATGTGTGTTATTTTTTCTTTACTTTTTTCCCCAATTGCAAGAATGATTATTAATGCCTTAATAAAAATTCCTAATAATTGGGTATTGAAATTCTTATAAATAAGGGCATTTTATGTTTTACATTGAGTGATTTAAGAACATGTATGTTATATAAGATGAGTAGATAAATTTAGCTGTATTGTTATATTTTATAAGGACAAGTTTAGAACCATAAAAACAGCTCCAAAAATCTGTTTCACTGTTCCATTAGGTCAGCTGTAAAAGTCTAAACACACACGCACACACACCCCCTCTGCTATCCACCTTTATCTGTTAATTTGCTAGTGAGTTAATTTTTAAAATATTCTTTCCTAGAAATGTAATATTTAGTCCTTGTTTAAAGAGCATGACTTTAATTTTTACTGCATGCGATTATAAACTCCACTAATTACAAAACTATCTTATTTCAGGCTTGCAAAGTGTCTGTACATACAGATGTTAATATTTCCTTCAGATAAATTTTAATTACCATTTCGGGGCCAGCAGGTGGCATGGTGGTTAAGGCACTGGACACTCCCACATGGTCAACCATGGTTTGAGTCCTGGACCTGGTGGCTTTGCGTCC